GAGGGGATGTCTATGCTTGACTCTTGCCTGTCTTTGCGTCAGCAATGGGTGAGGTTAGAGGTGAAGAATATCAAATGAAGCCAGCAATATTGTTGTCCTCATTGTGAAACTACTCCTAGGTTGCAAACGCCAACATGTTTTCTTAGTTCAACAAAAAAATACTTGCAGGCCCTAGGCAAGGTCTTGGACAGGAGACTCCCCTGATCACGATTTGCACAGACACTACAAGTATCAGCTACAAATACAACACAACAACAGCAGCAACAGAAAGTGCCACACTAGGGAATTTTTCACTCACAAATTGAACATGCTGAGTAAAAAAAATGTTGTGTTGCACATTAAGGGGGATCCCTGATTGCTCTAGACAGTCTCCTAGTTTGCCCGTGCCCACACAACATACTGTAGTGATCTCAGGATCACAGGATCTCATCCAGCTGTGTCTTGGGAGAAGCCAGGCTATCATCTTCAGAAACATGACAGAGTATCCTGTTCCCTACTCTCACAACTCTTTTTGTCATTAGACACCTCAGGATGTTGTCTGTGGAAGTGTAACATTTTTCTTCTTTGAATCGGGGCTGCAGTAGAGCAAATCTCTATCAGGTTCTTTGACTTGGCAATGAAGTACTGAACTGAACCGTAAAGAAATGTCTCCTGTTCTTGGTTTTAAATGCACTCCTACCTAGTTTCCACTTGTGTCCTGTGGTTTGTGTTTCGCTGTTCCACTGGGCTGGAGTTCATTTCAGGATTTTGAATATTTGTATTAGGTATTCTCTGTACAAGCCTAGAAATATTTAGGTCCTTTTGCCCGACAGTGCAGGACATTCCTTTGAGTTCAGGAATGTATGTGGTTACTCTATTCTGGGCTGATTCCAGAGCAACAATATCATTTTTATAACACACAGATAACAGTTGTATACAACAAGCTAAATTAGGTCTTTCTGGTACATCAAGTCAAGTCAAAGTCAAGTCAAAGTTTATTTATCAAATGCACAACAATACAGCATGCAGCAGTAGTTGCTGGCAATGAAATGTCTTTTTCTGCGAGCTCACAAAAATCACAAAATTCACAAAAACACAAAAATCACAAAACTGAGGTTACATTTTTGAAATTGAATAAAACTCAATATGAGTAGAGCTGTTATGTTTCCATGGTGTATGCAATATATACATGTAGTGCAGTTATGCTGAATACAGTGAAAACTGTGTGTCCATGTAGCCATTACAGGTGATTTGCTAAAGGAGCTGCAGATTGGCTATTTCGCAGTTTTATTGCCTGGAGGTAGAAGCTGTTCCGTAGTCTGTTGGACTTGGACCGAATGCTTTGGTACTGTTTACCAGACGGTAGGAGGGAAAACAGTTTGTGACTGGAATGACTGGGGTCCTTGAGAATGGACCTGGCCTTCTTCAGACATCTAGCTGAGTAGATCTCCTGGATGCTTGGTAGCTCACAGCCGGTGATGAGCTGAGCTGACTTCACCACCCTCTGCAATACTTTGCGATCCTGGACAGAGCAGTTCCCATACCAGGCAGTGATGCAACCAGTCAGGATGCTCTCAATGGTGCACCTGTAGAAGTTGGCCTGGATATGTGATGGCAAGCTGAACTTCTTTAGCCTGCGGAGAAAGAACAGGCGCTGCCGTGCTGTCCTGACCACGGTGTTGGTGTGGTGGGTCCAGGTTAAGTCCTCTGAAATGTTAACTCCCAGGAACTTAAAACTGCTGACCCTCTCCACTGCAGTCCCATTGATGTAAATAGGTGTGTGGTCTCCTCCCTGATGTTTCCTATAGTCCACAATCATCTCCTTTGTCTTACTGATGTTAAGAGAGAGGTTGTTCTCCTGGCACCATGCTGTCAGGGTTTCAACCTCCTCCCTGTATGCATTGTACAATTTCGACAAAAAAAAACCTTGATACAAATTAATTTTGTCTTAAGGTGTGTTCTGTATCTTAGTAAGATCACTTTATTAGCCATATAAAGTTTCTTGCATTAGGAATTCATCTTTCACATACCCCAGCTTGCTCTCCATGAGACACACAGACAGGGAGAGAAGCTTGGGGTCAGAGTGCAGGGTCAGCCATTTATACGGCGCCCCTGGAGCAGCTGGGGTGAAGGGTCTTGCTCAGGGGCCCAACGGAGTAGGATTCCTCTGCCAGCCACGGGACTTGAACCAGCAACCTTCCAGCCACAGGCGCAGATCCTGAGCCACAGAGCCACCACTCCGCCCTGTACATTTGCTGCACTACGTGTCTTAACACTGAGGATATCCATAAGCATAACTGGTAATATTGAGATTTACTCTTCTGCTCTCTATGTCTGCATGACAATTGTGGAGTCCTGATGACTAGTAAAGACAGTGAAAACGTTGACTGTGTGCGCCCAGAGAAATTAAAGTATTAAAGGTGGACAGTGTCTCAGACAGTGGAAGACTGCTGCCGCCTTGTGGTCAGGCGTGAGATAGACCTGAAGACCAGCGGCATGACATCTTTATTCGTGAAAGATAAGAAGGATGACGTCCACAGCGGCTCGTCGATTGGAGCTCAGCCCGGTTTCCAGCGAGTTAAGCGGACGAGAGAGCACGTGACTCCCCTCCGTGTAGGAATTATCCCCCAACTTATTATTACACAACTGGGTGAACTGGAGCAAATGGGGTACAGTATCTCACTCAAGGCACACCAGCAGCGCCTGCAGCAGGGACTCGAACCCGCAACCTGCCGCTGTTGTGTTCAAACCCAATAGGTTATACCGCTCCCTTATTCAAGATTCAAGAAGAGCGAGCAGAAAATAAAACAATCTTAATAATAAAGCTGCACGCCGCGGTGACCAGGCGTCAGGAGTGTTTTTTACATTTCACCTTTCAGCGGCATCCGGGGCTATGGCACTTTTCGACAGAGGGTAATGAGATCTTATTTGTGTGCCAGAGTAATTAAGGAAGGGTACTGTACAGTCTAGGCGGTGTCAGACATTAAGACGTCCGCGTATGCCTCAGCAGCTGGACTGCCGCTGGTGCAGCTGCGCAGACTGTAGGGCTCGGCAGTCCGTCTGACGTACAGGAAGTGACGCGTTTTTAAAAACCTGAAAGAGATTTAAAAAATAACAATACAAAACCAAATCAAATATACGATTAAAATTAAGAGCGCACGGCACGGCCGGGGCTGAGTTTTGCGCTGGGGCTGTGAGGAGCCCCGTGCTGTCAGACCCGACTTCCTGCGGGCTCCCGTGATGCCGCAGCCGCGGCGGCGGATTCAAACCGAGCCGGGGCTGAGGCTGAGGATGGCGGAGCAGCGGCGGCCGGGCAGCCCGGTGACGGTGTACCGGGACCCGGAGCCCCTGGACCAGAGGATGGCGGTGCTGGACATCGGTGCGGCAGTTACGTCGGAAAACACAGACGTCTCCTTGCCTGGCAAGACGGGAGCGGGCGGCCGCGGCGAGGAGGAGAAGGAGAACCGGCTTCCCGGGCCGGGCCAGGCCGCAGGTGCGCTCGGCGGTGCCGCCCCGGCTGGACAGGGGCCTCCGCTGGCCCAGACACCTCGCGTGTCCTGTATCAGGAATAGGAATCCAGCTAGATTAATAGTAATCATTTAATTGGGTTAAGAAGTTCATTTCCGAAAGAACTACATAAGCATATTAAATATTTTACTACTTTAAACATGTTTGTGGTTTGTGTGGGCATTCAGTATACAGACCTACGTTTTTTTGTACTGTAGCCTAGACGGCTGTACTTTTGAGATTAAATTTGTCATTAAAACGCTCCTGACAGTTTGGTCTAGGCGTCACTGATTGCCAGCACTAGAGAATAGGTGGGTGTTGTTGTCCAACTGTCTGATGTTTCACACGTGGGAGCTCTTTAGGATGAACAATTAACAGCTTTTCAGACCTGGGCGAGCTGAAGCACCCAGGTGTGTATTTCCAGCACAAATCAAGTTCTGGTTGAGCTGATCTGGAATGGTCTTCCAGGTTAGTGTGGGTTACTGAGCTCCTGTGTTTTACAACAGTGTAGGACTGTCCAGTGTTGTTTTCCTCCTCTGTGCATGTGGTGTAGAAAATTAAATCCCTGACAGGAGGATTTTCCGCTGTGATTTCCTTTCAGTTTTAGTGGAAGTCGACACTGCGACTGGGGGGTCAGCCGGCTGCCCTCGGTGTGTGGACGCCCCGGCCAGAGGCTCTAGGCCTCGCGCGCAGGCGGAGGACGGCCGTGTGTGCGTGGTGTTCCGCGGTGCCGTTGCCCACACCAGCTGCTGCAGGTTTGCCTGCGAGCTGCTCAAGTTCGTGCTGTACGAGCGCCAGCAGCTGCCCGCGCCCTACGACCAGCTCCTGCTGCTGCAGGAGGCGACAGCGCCGGCGGGCCGCCAGGTGAGCTGGGCGCCCGCACTCCTGTGGGCACGGACACGCGGGCCTGGCTCGCTATCGGGACTCCGGGCGGTGCACGGAGCAAGAGTACAGGAAGCGCCGCTCAGGTCTGACCTCTGCCCTTCCTCCGCAGGGCGCCCTCCGCAGGCCCATGAAGACGAGCGGCCTGGACGGCCGGCGCTGTCAACAGACGCTGCGGGAGCTGAAGGAGGTGCTGCAGAACCTGGAGGTGCTGTTCTCCCTCACCCTGGTGCCCCGCGTGCTGCTGCTCCTGGGGGGCAACGTCATGGCGCCCAAGGAGCTGTTCGAGATCGATCTGGAGGCCCTGGTCCTGGGCGAGGAGGCTGGCAGCCTGGGCACGGCCGCGTGCCTGCGTCAGCTTTTCCACACCCTCTTCGTGGCGGACGTCCTGTTCAAGCCGCAGCCCAGGAGCCTGGTGGCCACCACGGTCATGGTGCTGGGCCACCGGGACTGCGGCGTGGGCTGGTTCCGGCCCAGGCAGGACTACACGGTGCCCACCAGGGCGAAGAGGCAGGTGATCGCTCTGTCCTCCGACACGCACCCCCCCACCCCCGCCCAGGGCGAACAGCGGGACTGGGAGGATTATATCTGGTTCCAGGCGCCTGTGGTCATCAAGGGGTTTTGCAAATGAGAGACAATGGTGTGAGAGCCAGACGAGATACGCGTTACACTAAGCGATGTGGCAAAATAAAGTTGGGCATGAGTCAGCATGGGACTGTGGGGGTTATCCGCACAGGGAGAAAGCCCCCCTTTCCTGCTTTAAGAAATTTACCTCTGCGGAGCCTCCTCAAGGTCAGTGCGGGAGGCCATCGGTGCTGTTTTTTTAACTTGTAAGTTGTGTGGATGTCTTTCAATTCTAATGTAAATTCGTTTAAAGTATTAAAGTTTTAAAGAATGCAGCACAGGAAGTGAGATTTTCCTTCCCTAATGATGTGGAAATTCATTGAAGGTTACAGCAGCAGCCGCCAGTTTCATTGCTGTTGGAAGCTTTTTATTGTGGAGAAGGAGTAGACCTGATGGTTTTTCCATGGGCCTTCTCTAAAGTTTAGATTAAATCTGCTGTAAAGTGCCTTTCTGAAGAGCTGCAGTGTAGCGTGTTGTCAGATTGTGTTAAACTCTTAATCTAAACATCATGTCACCTTTCACAATTAGTGCTAATTTAGAATCCCCTTCAGCAGTATCACAAGCCCATTGTGGAGAACCCAGTCTATCAGGTTTAGATGCCTCATACAATCTCATTGATCTGAACTAACAAAGCCAATTAGTGGTCACTAAGTAACAGATCTCAAAATCAGAACATGCAGCAGTGCTCCAGGACCAGGCCAGCAGGATCCTCCTCTTAATTTTTTTCAATTTTCTCCACTTTCTTTGCGAACTCGCGGAAGTCGTCGGTAAGCAGCTCTGGCTCCTCGAAGGCGGCGAAGTGCCCCCCCCGGGGCATGTAGGAGTAGGAGACGATGTTCTTGTAGCGCCACCTTGCCCAGGACCGCGGGCAGTGCAGGAGCTCGTGGGGAAAGGCCGCCAGGCCGGTGGGAACGTACACGCCCACCCTGCCAAAACACGCAGGCCAGGGACGGTGTTAAAACAGGCCTTGATTTAGCATCAGACCCACTGCTGTCTCCCCAGCACTGCAGCTCCCTGCTAGAGCTGTTCCACACCTGTTTAACCCAGACCAGCACCGTGGCCAGGAGCCCTACTGAACACCTGGACAGAGGCGGAAGTCAGACATGACCCACTAGTCTGCCTCAACCTGCCTCAGCCTCTACCCAGTGAGGCCCTGCCGGGAGCCTGCACAGCGCCAACTGGAGAGGGAAGTAACAGCTTCCCTGCGCTGTTATGAATGTTTTGAAGTTGCATCCTCCAAGCATGATTTATCTAATTGGGAACCAAAGGGAGAGGAGGCCAGAAACTGAAAGGAGTAACCCTGTAAAGACCCCTTGTTCAGGGTGTCCAGGAAAGTGATCTCACCTGGCATCCACCCTCTTGTGAATGTTCTCCTTCAGGTTCTCTTTGTAAAACCGCATCGAAGGCACAATGGAGCCTGTGGTCCAATACAACATGACATTCGTCAAGAGATCATCGAGGGAAAACTTCCTGGAAGAAAAGGCGGATCTCCTGTGAACAAACCACCTCGTGTCCTGCTGCTGTCCCCGCCGGGTCACACAGCTCTTGAAACTCGTTCCTAAGCAGAGGCGGGTCCCGGAGCAACTGCAGTATTTCCAGTGCTGGTTTATACCTGCTGCACACAGCACTGGTCCCCAAGGTCTTAGCTCTACCAGTTCTGTGCTCTTAGCATTTTGAAAACAAATTATTAAAATGTTCAAATATACATTAATTTCACAGTCTATGTAGAGAGAGGTCAGCATTTTATTTATTCCAGTCCCTGGAGGGGGTTTTGGGAGCAGCAAGAGGTTCTTACCTCTCCAGCCCCCCGTCCTCCAGGCCTCTGTGCTGGAAGTCTGTCCAGGTGGAGAACTTCTCCAGGATGTAGGCAGCCAGGCCCACAGGGGAGTCATTCAGCCCACAGCCTGCAGGGGGGAGACACAGCCCCTCTGAACTCTGGTGAGCAGCAGACCAGCTGCATTTCAGAGCCCAGTGTTCTCCCAGACCATTTTCATCCCAGTTTAACATTAACTGGGCTAATATCGGCTGACTGCTCACGTTCTTCATTTCCAGATTTTTAATTCCCCTATTTTAATTTACATTTTTATACAGCAGACGTGAGGCCTTTTCTAATTCAGTTAATCAAAGTAAGATATAAAACAGGTGTTTTGATGTAGTGAAAAGTTTTGGATTTGTCTTTTCCTGAATATGGGTTTTACCTGTTTATTCATAGTCCTACTCCTATGTGTTCTCATACAGTAGGTGCTCAGAGTTGTCTATTGTCTACAAACAAGTTTTTTTTTAAATAAAGTTTAAATAATCAAATTAAGCGCTTGCATCTTAACCATGTGTGCATCTTAACTCACAGTTCCATCCACACCATTGATCATAAAGAAGCAGTGCAATCAGAGCTATCTCCCCCTTACATATAAATTGACACAACATACTTTACAATACAGCTCTGTAGCTCATCTGCAGAAGAAACTGCAGTCAGAGGTTCACCCAGCAGTTGGGCTCCCGGTTCGAGTGGCTCCAGCTGTGCGCTGCTACACTCACCTGCGCTGTCCGGCTTGGTGGCCTGGATGTGCAGGTACCCTGACTCCCTCAGGATCTCATACACATTCCTCTCCATGTAGGGGAAGAGCCGCCTGACGTCCTCTCGGGTGAGCCCCACCAGGAATGGCAGGTAGGGCCCCACCAGCAGGGAAAGGAGCATCCCCAGCCCCCCCCGCGTCACCGAGAACATGTTGAGGTGGAGCCCCTTCACGCACCTGGGGGAACACGCAGAGCATCTCCTGACCTGATTTGGTCACCTTCCGTCTTCCTGATCTCCTGACCTCCTCGTCCCATCAACTCCTGACTTCCTGATCTCCTGAACTCATGATCTCCTAACCTCCTCACCTTCTGACATCCTCACATGCTGGCCTCACCAGGATGAACTTAGACTTTAACCACTGAAAAGCCTAATTTCAGAACTCAAGATGCATCTCAAAACTCAAAACCTCTTCCTTGAGACTGATTAAATCAGGGTCCTTGTCTCAGAGGTCCAGACTATCTGCAGGTTTTCTTTCTTTTAAAAATGCTGCATCAAAAGACCTGGGAGAAGTTGTTAAAATCATCCAGATAGTCCAGCAGCAAGCTGATTTAGCACATTAGCTGCCAAATTGAAATGAAATTCTGCAGACAGCCTGGCCCTTCAACATGAGGACTGGACACCCTTGGTGCCGCCCCAGGGCTGTGTAAAGGTGGGCTCTTACTCAGGCTTCATCTGGGCCATGTTGGTGGTGATCAGGGACCCCCAGTCCCCCCCCTGCAGGTAGAAGTCAGTGAAGCCCAGCCGCTCCATGAGCTTGAGGAAGACCCGGGCTGCAGCCAGCGAGTCAAAGCCTGGAAACAGCAGTGGGGACACAGTGTTAGAGACAGGAATACACAAGGCAGACATTTATATTTTTAAATTGCAGCAATATTCTGGATTCCCAAAATAAATGGATTACTCAGTTTTGGATTACTCTGCTAAAACTGACTCCGGCTTTACAAGAGCAGCTGGCCTCCGTCTCTGCACATCTCTCACCCTGCTTGTGGGGGGCTTGGGAGTAGCCATAGCCAGGGATGGACGGGCAGATGACCTCGAAGACCAGGCCGTCCCGGGGCTGTGTGAGCAGGGGCAGGACCCTGTAGAACTCGTAGAAGGAGCCTGGCCAGCCGTGGACCAGCATCAGGGGTCTGAGGGTGCAGCCC